ATAGACAGATTAGTCAAAATATAATTCTACTGGAGTAAAAGATTAATAGGGATGTGACTTCCATTAGATTTGTTTACAGTCATTTAGGAGGGCGTTTATCAATGAAAAAATAAATACCTTGAGGCGTTTATTCGAGGGAGGCGTTTTCAAATGAGGCTCTAGATGGGACTTTTTTTGGTGGTGGGGGGGGGGTGTTGTGCGGAGGGTGTTTATTTGAATAAATACGATCAAATGACAACATTCTGTTCTTGCTGATTTACAGAATTTTGATTTACTTTGCATAGTCCTTAAACCTATTGTTTATGAGCCAATCTAAGGGACCATGCATAAATTGGACACTATTTATAATATGTCTGGTGATTGATGGAGAAAATATTTTCTTGTTATAATTTTCAATTAAAGCTTTATGTGAAGTATACAAATAAAGCAATTAATTTTAAAGATGGGTTTTGAATTTCCAGAATTAGGCCTATTTTACATTGTAAGCTCAATACAGACAGAATACCTGAAACAATGCTTATGATAAAACTACTGCGCTAATGTTGCGCTATGAAAACAACAGCTGTTATTACTGGTTATGTTTACCGCTCGTTTTCGGTTGCATTTGTTTGCGTTCCCTGTGCATTTTGAACTATTTCATTTTAGACAAAGCACAAAGGGTGTGTTTTATCACTGGCGGTATAAAAGAAATTATTTTATAGGCCATTTTTACATGTAGCACTGCTGCTAAGAGACGGACAACTATTAATAACCGCGTTAAGTTACAAGCAGTTAAAGTAAAAGAAACAGACAGTGTGTTGACGTGGGCCTTATACTATATAACAATGAATAAAAACCTTTTGTTTTTATAAATTTAGAAAACACATAGAAGTAGCTTTTTATTAACTGAATCGACATTAACGAAAGTGCACGTTCAAATAAATAAATAACTAAGTTTTTCTTTATTTTTATTACGCCCTCTGCACCTTGAAGATAAGATAGGCCTATTTCTACCTAGTTACATAAATTTGAAGCATTTAACCATCCTATTTTACATTCACCAATAAAATTTTATTTTCCCCTTCGTATGGCTGATTTTGGCAAAACTATTTCCGAAATAAGAAAACAAAATTATATTTTTAGTTTTTTATTTTTATTCCGCCCTCCTCAGATGATGTTTAAAAAAAATAAGTATGCAAAACAAGGAATAGAAAAAGTCTCGCCTTACCAAAATATGTTATAATGAAATGACAGTCCAGAAGCTGTTCAAAATCTATACTACAAGGACAAGTTTATTATAATTAACTGTAATGTTGCATTAATTCTGTCTCTTATACACATCTAGATGTGTATAAGAGACAGGAGATAATGTGTGTAATTACTAGTTTTCTCATATTATGTGAAATCTACAGAGATGCATAAAAAAGCAACTTGAATTAGATATAAATAAGAGATTATATGTAAGTAACTATAGTCCCAGTTTTAGTCAAACTTAAAAAATGTTGATTATTATCATGCCCCTTTTTTAGCCGCATGTTTTTGCTGTCGTCAAAAATACATGGGATGTCAGCCATGACTTTCTTGCTGTGCTCGTATGCTTCTCACTAAACAGGAGCTAAAATTACTCTTTTAAGAGCATGAGAGCTGTCTCTTATACACATCTAGATGTGTATAAGAGACAGAAAGTACAGAAATGGTCCCAGTGTGATTGGGCTACTAACTTGAGTGCTCTTTTGACAGGGGGTGCATTGGAAGTATATTCTCGATTGGCCACTAAGGATGCCGATGATTATCAAGTTTTGAAACATGCCCTTTTAAAAGTATCTACCTGGCAACCGGTACCATTTTTCTTGTGAAACGAACTCGTGCTTTTTAACGGAAAATCACATTAGAATCGGGTCCTATGAAAATGATATGGATAATTGGGTTTTATTTGTTAAGGGTTTTTTATGTTGAATCATTCAAACCACAGAGAGTTCGATGCGATCGCGTACGTTTTCGTATTTTATGACATCATAAAAGGGGCGTGTACCTTTGTTGTTTCGCTGTACACATCACTACATATGATTGGATATTTGATATCATATGATCGACACACCTCCATTATTCTCATTACACAGCTAAACTGAGTCTGATCCGAGTGTATCAGCTGAGCTGAATCTTACGACTCTGCCTAATTTCAGTGGTTAATTTTATATATTTTTATATTATATATTATACATATTTATATTAAATATGTTAGGCGGAGTCTTGAGAGGTGCTGCTTGTCCAAAAGTAGCAAAATCACTGAGTTTATTGAAGACACAAGTAGGACTACCGGCTCTTTCGCAAGTCCGTTCGCTCTCATCCGAAGCACCAGGTAAAATTGCATTTCTGAGTAGGCCTAGGCCTATTCTCCACTTGCTTGGCCAGGCGTGCATATTCAAGAGATTTGGCCTAGGCCCAGTGCATGTTTCTAAACCCAGGCTAGGCCTAGTCCTCTCTACCACCAGCTGTGTAGTCAGGCTCCATTGCAAGATCAATCGCATAATTACAGATATTTTTCCAAATCAAAGCTGCACTCGTTTCTTAGTAGAAGAAATTCAAATTGAACTTTTGGTTTAATTATTGAATAAAGAATTCATTTTTTTGTAATTATTTGTAAATGTCTTCTTCTGCAGATGATGTAGATTTCTTTGAAATGGTGTCTATGTTCTACGATAGAGCAGCACCAATGGTCGAGGCTCAGTTAATAGAACAAATGGATGCAAAACGTAAGGGAACAGATGTCAACAAGGTTTGTCAATTTTCTACTTGTGCTGTGTTCCAAAATACAGGTTGTTGTTACCCTTGAATCAGCCAGGGTCATCCGAAATGACCTGGGATGTGCTACAATAGTCCTATTCATATGGATCTCTTATAAGCATTTATTTTTCAACCAAATAATGCAACTGCTGCTGCATTACACATAATATTAATTAAAACAAAGTTTATACCAATAACTAAAATACAGGTTGTTGTTACCCTTGGATCAGCCAGGGTCATCCGAAATGACCTGGGATGTGCTACAATAGTCCTATTCATATGGATCTCTTATAAGCATTTATTTTTCAACCAAATAATGCAACTGCTGCTGCATTACACATAATATTAATTACACATAATATTAATTAAAACAAAGTTTATACCAATAACTAAAATAATATTGAAACTGTAAATAATGTAACTAGTAGTAGAAAGACACTATGTACATTATACATAATACATGCTAGTGATTGGCTCTTTTTTTTGGCTTCATATTTTAAAAAAAACATGATTGTTGTAATAATTTAGGTCCTCTGACACCCTTATACTTGTTGCTTCAGATTGTTTGGGTTTTTGTAGTACAATTGTCTAGGTGGTTTACATTTGTAAATATATAATATGCAGCTCCAAAAGAAGATAAGGAAGGGGGCAAGAAATCATTTTTTTATTTGACTTTATGAGATATGATATGAGATGAAACCATGTGTTTTGAGTCAGTTTATTGTTGTAATAATATATATTCTGAGATCTTTACACCTGTTTTATTATTAATTCTATTTACATTCAGCAGTGAAAGCCTGTTAATAGGGACTGGATTTTATGTAACACTATACAGCACTACAAAAGATATAAATTATAATGTAATATATTTTGGTAACAAAATCTTGCGTAAAATTCGTTTGTATATTATATATGGCAAAGACAAGCCAAACCAGTCACTCGTCACAAATCGTGTTTCAGCGATAAAGGCCAAAACATGCTGGAATGTCAAATTTATTGAAATCTTTTTTATTGCACTAAAATAACCTTTATATCTATGCATCATGCTATTTTTAAAGATTTTGGTGATGGTTTCTGCCTGAGAGATGCCCGAACTCAAAACTTTGAAGGCTGATTTCTCAAATATTATTCTTTAAACAGCTTTATGTTTAAACGCTTGTTATCACATAAGGAAATGTCGGATTTGAATGATTCTTTTACCATTTTATAGCTCTCATTTTACTTTTTAACCTTCCTGTATAATTAACCAAAAACAAGTGACTGGTTTGTCTTGTCTTTGCCACATATATTAGCGTTGCATGTATTCTTGTTTATTTTTGTCTTGTAGATTAAAGGAATTCTAAAACTTTTGAAACCAACAAATCATGTTCTCAGTTTAACTTTCCCTTTCAAACGAGATGATGGTTCATTTGATTTGATAGAGGCATACAGAGCACAGCATAGCCAGCACAGAACACCTTGCAAAGGAGGTAGTTACAATTACATCTTTTTCATTTTTTTGTATTACTTTTCTACAGCTACAACTTTGTGTTGATGATGATGATGTTGTTGATGATGATGATGAAGATGATAATGCAAAATATTATTTGCCATGCAAGTGGTGTAATGTATTTAATAATAATAATAATGCATAAAGATTTTCTTTTTTTATTTACAGATTCCTCCCACCCCATGTATATAATAACAATCTTTTTACTATACAGCCATGTAGATAGTAACATAATAATAATAATAATAATATGTTATTATAAAACTGAACCATTTCAATAATAAACAGAAAGGCCCTAAGTGAACAATAAGCTATTCTCTATGAAGGAAACTATAATAGAGTCATAATAGGGTCAGTAGATTTAGGAAACATAGCCTTTTACAGGAAATGGAATGTGGGCTGAAAAAAAGGCTAGCATAGATGTCTCTTGGACCTATGGCAATTTCCTATTGTACCTCAGTGATATCAAATAATGATTTTAGTCCGTAGTATCAAGGAGGTAGAAGTCATCTGATATTTTGGTTGGTTCGCATATTACTAATTCATCCTTTAATAGTTTTCAGATTCCAGTTGAGATCGTAGACCTATGACTGGCTGCCATCTCTACCACAATAAAAAAATTTTACATATATATATAAATAAAAAAATAATTTTGTCATATAATTAATGTCCATGATATTAGTTTACCCTGGCCTTAGCTATACTTAAATAATAAACAATTACTACTTGAATTATATGTAAATGTGCATTGATTGATATATTAAAATTTTCAAATTAGCAATAAATAATACCACAGTATAATCATAATAGGATAACTTTATCATGATTATTTTGAAGTTAAAACGAATGGATATATAGTTAGTATCTGCTTATTATAAATATTGGTATGTAAAGACATACCATTGGCAAAGTCTCATCACAGTGTCATGTCTTGTATTTAATCAATTGCATAATCAGTTGTCTTATGCTTTCAAAATGTCAGCATCAACAGTGTCACTGGATGACTCAAATCATATTTACCGGTATGCCTCTAGTAAACTTGTTATGAATGAACTTTGCATAATGTTATTGATTTTCATTTAATCTAATCATAAATTTATAATAATTAATGTATAAAAATATTAAAATGACATTGTGATAGAATTTTAAAAATAGATTTGTAATTCTAATTATAATTACAAGGAACATCTGTAAATTATGAATTAACGTTATTAAAAATACTGTCCATATCGAAATATTGTATTCTCTATGGTATTCCTATCAGTCGGTTGGTTGCTACTGTACATGCCTCAATCAGCCAGTCTTCCTTGTAGGCCAGGACACATTACACCTGTTCTTTTTCAATAATATTGAGGAAAGTGTTTATTTTCATTCATTAAATTTATATACAGAAAAACAATAATAGGAGAAAAAATATGAAAATAGTCAGTCCCAGGGTTTCTAAATATAAATTTTACTTAACTTTACAAATGAAGACAACTATCCTGAAGACTGAACAATGACAAAATTTTGTCTGCATTAAAATTATACTCCCAGTAATTAACAAGTTAAACTGAATGGAAATAAAATAAATAATAAATAATAAATTTACATTACTTGGTTGGAAGTGGCATGTTGCTCTGTGTGCATTAGGATATAAAACTACTCTGCTACTACTAACAACATGAAATCATAAATCAATTTATTCTTTCAATCTTAAATATGAAAAATATATCACTGTAGGATCTGGGAGACAAAAACATCACAGGTATAACTAACAGTGACAGAGAATTATAGGTTACTTTTTGTTTTCATTCTTTAAATATAAATGTAATACTAATAAAAAAAAAACCTTCTCTTTTTCCACATAATACATGATAAATCACTATACTAGCTCTCATGTTTTATGAATGTGGATTATTCAGCCATAAATAAGATGTAGAAATGTGTTTTATGTAGCATTCATAGAGCCTATCATTTACCTGCAATTTTGTAATTATCTTACTCGCTGTAGTAAAACACTTTGTGTTTGGTTCTCGCAACATGTAATTGGATCGTTGCCAACTATGAAATAATTGCATTCACCAAGGTGGAATGAATACCTGCCCCTGGATATGAACAAGCTGTCTTCATGACCTAACCACTAAACTTGCATAATGAGCTCGCATATTTTCCAAGTCAGGATGTTGCCAATAGACAGTTATATGATATGATAACTTTTATTACTACTACAGTATAGAGTACATACATATAACATATTATTTGCAGATAGATAGATATATAATTTCCCCAAAATTGAATGATTGAGTGCTTTTTGTTATAATTAGTATAAATTAGTGTCCAATTAAGACCTGATATTTATTATTCTGATATAAATTTTTGATGAATAAAAACCATAAAATATTTTGATGTTATAATTTTTATAGCATAGGTTAAGAAAAAAGTTTAATAATTTGTGTAATAATGCATTTTGTTTGTAATTTGTTTGATAGTTAATGGAGTTAGGTCTTGCTCAGTATTATAAAAAGGGTCCAATTAAGACTTTATATTTTTTAAATATTTTTTGAATAAAGACTAGACAAATTCTTGATAATGGTTTATGGAGAAATGATTTGAGTAAAATCTAATGGATGTTTCTCTTTTTATTTTTATTTAAATCTAGGTATACGTTACAGTTTAGATGTATGCGAGAGTGAAGTACGTGCCCTGGCTTCGCTGATGACATACAAGAATGCCGTTGTAGATGTACCATTTGGAGGTGCGAAGGGAGGCATCAAAATTGACCCACGGCAATACTCAGAAAGAGAGTTGGAGAAAATCACAAGGCGTTTCTGTATAGAATTAGCCAAGAAGGGATTCATTGGTAAATGTTGCTCCTTAATTAACATATTTGTCTATTGAATTATGGAGTTGGGAATATATTACACATGCTTTATATAACATCATCGCAATGGGACAAATTTCATAATAAACTAATAGTCAAACTGCTCACATAGTACTGTTACTTATTAAAACCATATAGAATTCTCCATTATTGTGGTTTGCTGTTATGTCCTGTATGACCAGTAGAATTTAATGATTGACAAAGAATAAAAGAAATAATATGTTTTATATTATAAATTTACTTTGAATTTAAACTTGAATAATCCTGTGTGTTTGTCTGTATACTAGGACCTGGTATCGATGTCCCTGCCCCAGACATGGGAACTGGAGAACGAGAGATGAGTTGGATCGCAGACACATATGCCATGACTGTTGGATACCAAGATATCAATAGCCATGCCTGCGTAACTGGTAAACCAATTTCCCAGGGCGGTATACATGGACGTATATCTGCTACCGGCCGTGGTATCTTGCACGGTATTGAGAATTTCATTAATGAAAGCTCATACATGAGTGCGGTTGAGCTTACTCCTGGTTTTCATGATAAGACGTTTATCGTCCAAGTAAGTAGTTGTTATTAGTTGTTATTTGTTGTTTTTTAACAAAATAAAAAAAAAACCAGTTTATAAAGCAAGTGAACAGAATCATAGCACAGGTTCAGAATTATACAACTAAATACATTAAAATCATGAAATGGAAACTACCACAGCAAAAAAAATAATTTATCAACAATGAGAGTCACATGGAGTTTTTTTATATTTTTATTTATTATTGATTACAATTTCTTTACATTATATATTAACTTTTCTGCGTCAAATTATCATTTTCAACAGGGTTTCGGTAACGTAGGTCTGCATACCACACGCTACCTTACAAGGTACGGTGCCAAATGTATTGGAGTAATGGAAATCGATGGTTGCATCTACAACCCAGCAGGTATTGACCCCAAGGCTCTAGAGGACTACAAGATTGTAAGTCATAATAGTTATAGTAGTCATGTGATAGCTAGTGTTTGTGTGCTAAACCATGGAGATCCATTCAGATATTTAATCCTTTGTTCAATTCCATTTGCTCTCACCAGCCAAAGGGCAAAAATGCAAGTTATGATAGTTCTCTGTGTTTCGGAAAAGGCATTTAACTTATTGTCTCCATGAACAATATGGCTCATGTGCAAGTTCAAGAATGCAGTAAACACTTGGGATGAATGCAGGGGAGTGCCTCCCTCCCATCCTGTGGAGGCTCTAGGATATATTTTCTGGTGTGGGGGTAGGGAGTTAGCTGTCCGATAGGGGGAATTGAGATCGTATGCCGGAGCTAGGGGAAGTGGTTGAGAGAGTGTTCTGCCTCCCAAATGAAAATTTTTTTTAAGAATAGCAACCTCAGGATGGCCGGAAATGGCACTCTCAGACTGTGACAGACATGTGTTGGCTTGGTGTGGACCTATATATATATATATATATATATATATTATGGTCTAACTGCCTGATGAACTCTTTCTGACGGGGAGGGGAGGGGGGAAGTTGTCCGGTGGGAACTTAAGCCCCCCTGTTCTCCCGCTGTCACTGCTACAGTCTGCTCCCATCACATTTTTAGGGTTAGATTAATTGTAAATTCATTGTCCATTTTTTTTTGTTCATCATGTTCATGTTAAGCATATAGAGGTCTCCATAATATGTGCTCTTTAACTCAACCATTATTATTATTCTTCTTCCAAATACCTTGTCAGATTCTGATGTTGGCAATCATGTTTTTGAACCTGTCTCTATTATTTACTGCATGAATGAGATCCATTTTCTCTTGCCCCGTTGACAGTATTATTATTATTATTATTATTGTTATTATTATTATTTAACGAGTTATCCTCGGTGTGATTCCCACAAACAAGTAATTCCTGTATATAAAAATATATATATATGTTAGATTATTAGTATATTTGAATAAATGACCAATTATAAACTTGGGAATATATTGTTATTTCTAGGCCAACAAAACTGTAATGGGATTCCCAGGAGCAGAGACGTACGAAGGAGATATGTTTGCTGAGCAGTGTGACATCTTGGTACCATGTGCCGGTGAGAAGCAGATCACCGCAGAAAACGCACCTAGGATCAAGGCCAAGATCATCGCAGAAGGTGCCAACGGTCCCACCACGCCAGCCGCTGACAAGATTCTACTTGAAAAGAAAACATTAGTTATTCCAGTAAGCATGCCTTAAATTGTGTAAATGTGTATTTATTTAGACCAGGTATGATTTATACCATATGCTTATTAACATTGTCACTCATATCATTATAATCATTAGCCTTTCCAAAGGAGAGTGAATCTATGAAAGGCTAATGTTTTCACCTCTGTTCTTCGTGATGTCATTCATGATTTTGTTATGATTTGTATACTACAATTTTTCGGCCAATTTTCTGTTGCATTAAACATCTTTACATATTTTACCAAGCCAAATAACTAAAGAAAATTAAATTCTGCATAGAGGTAACAATTCTCATGACATATCATAGACTTCATAGTAATAATTATGATAAAATGAACCATCTTATTTCTTGGTAGTAATTCTATTGCTGGTAGTAATTCTATTGCTGGTAGTTTTAGATCTCACCATTCTATTTCATTGAATAACCACATTTTATTCATCTTACAGGACTTGTATTTGAATGCTGGGGGTGTTACTGTATCCTACTTTGAATGGCTCAAGAACCTCAATCATGTTAGCTATGGAAGACTTACCTTCAAATATGAAATGGAATCAAACACCCATTTATTAGGTAAGACAAAGCTAGGGACAAAGACCATCAAGTATTTTATTAAGTAAAGACGTGAAAGCAGATTGGATAGGTGGTTAGTGGGTTCACTGTTTATCCTTCTATCGTTGAGGACCTGGGTTTATTTATACCTGTAAAAAGCCAATTTTTTTGATCTTTTGAAAAAAAACATCTTAAGCCTTATAATGAAACTTGGTATCATATTGTTCAATCCTGTAATTGTCGATTGCACTTTCTGGTGAATTTTTCTTTGAGATAGGCTGTTCAATAATGATTTTATTGAATATAGATTTCTACCAATTTTGAGTATACAGACATTGTGTCAATGTTTGTAGCCTATTACATTATAAATTTCTTATACAGGACAACATTGTGAGAAAAGCCTGTAATTGAAATTGTAAGACAGACAAGAAAAGGATGAATAATATAAAAATGGTAAAGATAGAGATAAAAAAGTAAAATATTAGATAAAAATTATGAATAATAATGGGGATAAATTAATTGGTAACTATTCTCAGAAAGATTTATTTGATTTTTTTAGAGAGTGTCCAGGAAAGTTTAGAGAGGAAGTTTGGCAAGGCTGGTGGCCGCATTCCAATTGTCCCATCTGACAAGTTCCAAACTCGTATTGCTGGAGCCAGCGAGAAGGATATCGTCCACAGTGGTCTTGCTTACACAATGGAAAGGTCAGCTAGGGTAGGTCAAAATTTTGTATAACATACTTTTGATAGGACATACAATGCTTTACTTCTTTTTTTTTTACTTTTGTAATTAATAATCATTAGTCTATTTTAAAGATCTTATTAAAATTGTTCAAATCAATAAATCATTTTTCTTATAAGTTCTTATTAAATTGGGATGTTTATTAATGGAGGGATCAGCCTTGTTGAATATAGATATTTTCTAATAGTGTATGCCTGTCTCAGATATATATCTAATAAAATTCAGACAGTGCTTTAATGTATTCATCAGACAAATCTGATAAAATGCTATCTGATACTCTCTGTGAAACACTATCTGACAGATAAAAATCTTGTGACAATTGACTGATTGGCATAATGTCATATTACGCCCATATATGGGTGTGATGATGTCATATTACACCCATATAAACAAATACCAGGTATTTTTCATATAATATACTTGCGCACAGAGCTTTAGTTAAAAATTTGATCAGCATTTGTAGGTTAATGTATGTACCAAAAAGAATGACAATCCTTTGATAATGAATGATGTTTCTTTTTTTTAGCAAATTATGCGAACTGGTATGAAATACAATCTTGGTCTGGATCTTCGAACTGCCGCTTACATAAACGCCATTGAGAAAATCTACAACGTTTATCACGATGCTGGATTTACTTTCTAAACACCTCTGTAGTCATCAGAATTCAATCATTTCAAGACCAATAGCTCTATTCAAAACTTATATGTAGACTTATTGCGGTTAATTATTATATGGACGTTATTTTTGTTCTCACCATTAAATTATGGTGAATATAGTAACTTAAAATCTTATGATGTGATGTTATTAGTACAAATTTTCTCAAAATTCTATTCAATGATTTGTATTTGATTTACCTATAGTTATTGACAGATGAACTAAATATATTTATAATATGTGATTTGATGAAGATATTACATAAAGAAAACCTACCTTGATGTGTCAGAGAATATTAAGTGTCATTTTGTATGAATTAATATTATTCTGGAGTGGCAGAACCCACATGAACCCCTCTTTTCAACATTAAAATACTATAATGCTTCACTAATCAACTTCTGCAACACATCATATGCCTTATATACCTTACTTATGCTTTTAGATTAACATTCTATTATATACAAACAAATATTATTACAATGTCATTGTTGCACAAGAAAACCTAGGTAATAAACAGTAGCAGTATTAATACTATGTTTGTGGTATCTACATTTTCCTAAAATTCCAAAGAAACCCTATAGAAAATATATTACAGTATTCTACTTCTTATATATTTCATTATCATTATACCTAGTTTTAGTTGGCGAGTCATTCTGTTCTGTATGTTATGTATTATTTAAGTTTATGATGATTGAGCTTTCTGGTATACAGAAGGAATTAAATAAAATTTAAATTGTTTTATAAAGACCAATGGCGAGTTTTGTGAGTATAAAATAAAAGTTACTGTTTCCTATTTAGTAAATATTACGGTACTTATGAAACTTACCCCCAGTTTAAATAAATCTTTTGCACACTTAATGAAATAAATAAACACAATTTATCTTGTTTCTTATACAAACATCACATATTACTTATAAATGCTAGATAGTCAGTGTTACTGCTGTCTTCGGCACTCAACTCAACAAATACTGTAATTACAATCAATACTGTATTCATATTGAATGTTGCTGTGTGCAAAATACCACACCGGAGTCTGCTCAAGGGAATTCCAAATCATGAACGCAGTGCATCATATAAGGTGTGGACCCCGGGGTATCTTTGCTGTCTGGACCTATTGGCTGGAATCTAGGGTTAAGGGGGAAGATCTCCAGTGGGGACCAAGGGCGAGGCCTCCAGAAGCTACGGCTTTCTAACTGATTGGAGGAAATTTAATCGATTATAGATTGCTTAATTTCACCATGAAAAATAAAATTTGGAATCATGAAAAGCAAGGGAGGGGTCAGATTTCCCCACCGAAAGGAAAGTGGGCGTGGTCGGGCTTCGATTGAAAGGTTACGAAAGTGCTCCAGGGGGCGAAGCCTCCGAAAATTTGACAATTTAGGGGTTTCAAAGGCTTATTTTAAACGATTTCAATACACGATTTCAATTACAATACATAAAACTTTTTTTTCTCCCCGACAAATTGTGCTTTTTCTCCCCGACTGGGGTGGGGGAAGCTCTCCCCGACGGGGAGCCCTCCCCTGCTAGCACCGCCCCTGTTGAAAAGTAAAAATCTATCCTTTCTTTTTACATTGAGTTGAAAAGATTCAACATATCAAAGTTTACTGAGTGGCGGACCCAGGAATTTGAATACTATAGGCCCAGAGAAAGAGTGCCACCTACCTTTAGACTTAAAATAGTAGGAGTAGAATTTTCTTTTATTTTTCTCAATTATTTTGTTACATTTTGTAAACTTTAGTGGGGAGGGCTTCCCCTCTATAGAGTAGTAATGTCATGAAATATGAAAGGAATTTTCTAAGACCATTAAGAAATTAAAAGCAACTTAGGCCTAGCTTAGTCAGTGTAACTGGTTACTTTTTAAGGTTATTCTTTGTATCTTGTCTCTGTTTTCTCTGTCCGTTTAAAAAAATTTTTTTTTTTTATAACTTTGTATTTTAATTATGTATGAAACTTAATATTCAATCAATCAATAGTTTGTAAATAAGAAACGACACCTTCAGCCTCTAGAGGGCTAGCGAATTGGAAAACACATTAAAATGTTAACAACAACCTGGCAACTCTATTCCGCGCCGCGGGCTGGCTTGAATTATTTACAAAAACATGGCTAATGTCAACAAGAAAGTAACGCTAATTCCTGAACGAAGCAAAGTCATAGAAAACAGACGTTTAAAGTAAGTAGAAGTTTAAAAGCTTAAGATAATATTACACGTAAATTTTGGAATAAACTTGACGGTTATGGGTGGTTGGTTTCTAGTATTATAGTAGTATTTTTAGTTGATGTTTTATGTTACGCTAGGCTAGTCTCCGCCTAGAGCCAAGGTCTAGCTCCTAAGCTGGGGCCTTGTTGGCCTGAGTTGAGGTGCCTGCTGAGCAGCTAGCCTAGGCCTATCTAGGCTTGTAGTAGTAGGAGGCTAATGCCAGGATGTGGGCCTAGGTCTAGCTAGCTATTGAATAAATATAAAATATTCTTAATATTTGCCCTCATTCAAATTTGAAAATTGGGCTGTTTCCCTGTCATGCTCCAGTGCAATGCCATCTGAATTAACTAAAACTACAGATATAGGCCTAGATGCAGATACAATTCTTTATCTCAGCCCACCTAACTCTCAATACGTGGGTTAGTCAACTCAAGGAGATGAGCGATCAGACCCGATCGACGATGTTTGCATTTGTTGTTTTTCAGACATTTGTTTATGATATCAAATCAATTTTTTTTTTTTTTTTTTTTTTTTTTCATTTCCTTGTTTTGATACAGCAAACGTCAGACTACTTTGAGAGCATTTACATTCATTCGTGACTGGGAACTCAGAGTATCACCAATACCTAGAAGTATCCAACAGGAATCTGGATCTAGCCAGGTATTTCATACAACTTTACAAATGTGATTTGAATAACATTAACTATAGTTTAATTTATTTAAAAAAATCTGCATTTTCATTTTTATTCTAAAAAACAAGTGTAAAGATTACTTTCGAAACTTTTTATCATAACTTCTGTTCCCTAGACAATTGATCTGATAAAGCTTCAAAGTTCAATTTTGTAGATATATCATATATCCTCGCATTCTACAGGTTAGTTCATCGTCACCCATCCCTCGCATCAGTCCAGGGCCTGCTGTTATAGGAAATGCCTCTCCGTTTAGCGAAAGAAGTCAAACTGATGAAAGCATTTGTAAGTTTTGAGGGGTTTTTTGCATAAATAAAGCCTAGTTTGAATATCTTCAATTTAGACCATTTGAACAATTACGTATAATTGGAATAACACATTTTGAAGAATAGATTACATTTTTGTACATAAATAAAAGTTTCTACGTACTATATGCGAAAACTCCAAATCAGGGTTTTCAAACTTCCAATCAAACCTCCGATTTTGAAGTTTCTGCGTACTATACTCGAAAAATCCAAAAACAGAGTTTTCAAACTTTCAATCAAGCCTCCAATATCGGAGTTTCTGTGTACTATACGCAAAAACTCTAAAATCGGAGTTTTCAAACTCCAAATTAAACGTCGAGGCCTACTATAGTATAATCGGAGGTTTGATTGAAAGTTTGAAAACTCCGATTTATTGGAGTTTTCGCGTACAGTACGCAAAACCTCCCAAACTGGAGTGTTGATTAAAAGTTTTGCTCTCAATATAGAGACCTTGTTTACTTGACAGTAGGCCTATGCAGAAACTCCGAAATTGGAGGTTTCATTCAGAGTTTGAAAACTCTGATTTTGGAGTTTTCGCAAATATTACGCATAAACTCTGAAATCTGAGGTTTGATTGAGAGTTCTGCTCTCTCTATATAGAGAGAGAGCTTGTTTAATAAATTGTACACAGAAACTCTGAAATCAGAGGTTTGCATAAAAGTTTGAAAACTCCGATTTTGGAGTTTTCACATGTTAGTATACGCAAAGCCTCCGAAATTGGAGGGTTGAATTAAAGTTTGCTTTGTATATAGAGAGAGCTTGTTTAATTAATAGTATGCAGAAACTGAAATCGGAGGTTTGAATAAAAGTTTGGAAACTCTGATTTTGGAGTTTTTGCGTATAGTATGCAAAACCTCCAAAATCCGGGTTTTGGCGGCGGGCGCAGACACTCCGATTTCGGAGTAACTACACTACATTTCAATCCACATCAAAAAATAGCTCTCCATTGAAATATCTTTCAGCATCAGGACCCACAGTTAAGCATTCAGTGGTGCAGCATTCTCGAAGTAAAAACAGACAACGAAAACTTGTCAGCCATAGTTCAATTAAGTCTTTGCTAGAATCAACGCGATTGTCCACAGGAATACCGGAAGACGACCGTAACATCAGCCCCTACCAGGATGCTGCATCTCAGCCATCACATCAAAATGTATCTACAGTTAAGAATGCAGGAGATGGCAAAAGTATCTCCAATATTGACGCTCCATCTCTGCTTTCACAACCTCATATATCTACATTTGAGAGTGCAGAAGAATCTGAACCAGCAAGTGAGATCTCGATGCACGCTAATGCCATTGAGGAAGGGTTGTCAGATTCTGGTCGGAGAGTCAAAAGATCAAGAACAAGGCTGACTGAAGCATCAAGAGCAAACACGACTGCAAGAAATGTCTCTCAAATTCACCAAGAACAGAACAATGAAAATGTTGAGAGTGCAAAAGAATTTGAACCAGCAAGTGAGATCTTGATACATGCTAATGCCGTTGAGGAAGGGTCATCAAATTCTGGTCCAACAGTCAAGAGATCAGGAACAAGGCTAACTGAAGCATCAAGAGCAAAGACAACTGCAAGAAATGTCTCTCAAATTCACCAAGAACAGAACAATGAAAATGTTGAGAGTGCAAAAGAATTTGAACCAGCAAGTGAGATCTTGATACATGCTAATGCCGTTGAGGAAGGGTCAACAAATTCTGGTCCAACAGTCAAGAGATCTGGAACAAGGCTAACTGAAGCATCAAGAGCAAAGACAACTGCAAGAAATGTTTCTCAAATTCACCAAGAACAGAATGATGAAAATGTTGAGAGTGCAAAAGAATTCGAACCAGCAAGTGAGATCTTGATACATGCTAATGCCGTTGAGGAAGGGTCAACAAATTCTGGTCCAACAGTCAAAAGATCAAGAACAAGGCTAACTGAAGCATCAAGAGCAAAGACGACTGCAAGAAATGTCTCTCAAATTCACCAAGAACAGAACAATGAAAATGTTGAGACTGCAAAAGAATTCGAACCAGCAAGTGAGATCTTGATACATGCTAATGCCGTTGAGGAAGGGTTATCAAATTCTGGTCCAACAGTCAAGAGATCAGGAACAAGGCTAACTGAAGCATCAAGAGCAAAGACAACTGCAAGAAATGAACAGAATGATGAAAATGTGGATATTAATGCCAACTTATCTAATACACCAAATAGATTGGTAGGAAGTTTTCTGGCAACTACCCCCTCAATGTCAGCATTAGTGAGTATATAAGAATTTGGCTAAAAAAAGTATTAGTGTATGATAGGTCTATTCCAGTTTCTACCTAAAAAAATAATCACTCTTGTATATAATAGTGATTTTTTTTTTAACAATAAGAATAAAAACGACTTTAGTGGCTGCATGCTGATGAAGATGCACTGGTTTGACAAAACATTACTAATAATATACTAATAGATGAATCCTATTTTATTGAACCTAAATTTACTTTTCAATATCAGGCGGTACAAACTTCTCCAAAGAGTGGTCCTGCATTTCGGAAGAAAGGAAGCTTAAAGAGAAGATCACCAGGTGAAGGAAGGAAAGCAAATGACAGGGCAGAGCCTCTTCAAAAAGGTAATTGCAAAATGACATAAAGAAATATATAAGAAAACAAAATTTATTTCAATTTTGCCTTCAGCATTTAGAAGAGAAAAAGTCTCTTTGAAAATGCCATGTAGGGCAAAAGATCTCCTGTTCTATCCATTGCAGAATTAAAATGGAGTCTCTGTTGCCAACCTAAGACGTTAAAGTTGCGACTACTGATATAGAATGTTTGGGGGATTTGTTAGTCACAGGTTAACATATTGATATTGAATTTCCGTAATATAAATAGAAAAAAAAGTAAACATATTAAGTTAAAAAAAGATTTATATATTGATGTTAGTTTATGTAACTGATATTGTAATGATAAATAAAATTGGGGTTTCAGCACTTAGAAAAAAAAATAAAAATTTTAAGTTTAATATTTTTTTTTTCCTTTGATGATTTGTAAACAAGATGTTGCTAGTAAAAATAATATAAAAGTCTTGCAGAATTTACTATACTTTTATCTGATGCACTCATAATATTTCGAATGGAGATATTTGTATTCAAATATATTTTTTATGTCTTCTAGGTAAAGTGTGCTTGTGGACAGCTTCTGATAGGAATCGATCAGCTAGTGATGTCACCGAACTCGATGTTATCTTAAGCAACATCGAGGAAACCTGTTTGGATTACAGGTAAATTATACAGTTCCTTGATTTTTGGCAAAATATAAATTTGTGTACAGATTTTAAAGATTTGAGAAATTTTACTGCCTATTACTTTATACAAATGTAATTATATTCATTTGATTTATATTCCCCATTTCCCGCAATATTTCACTAAACGAAGAATTTTTTTAGAAAACTGCATATTTATCACTTTAATTATTATAAACCAATGAAAAATATAGGCATAAATTTTAGTTGTACGCAATAGGATAAAAAAAATGAGAAATAGAGACTATTTTTCATAGGAGGTTGCCATTTTTTTGACTACTTCTTCGTTACTAGGCAAATTTAGAGGTTGCAGATCGCATCCTCTGAAATGCTCTCACTTTTGTGTATACTTCATACACTCAATAAAGTGCGCCCTCTCTAATGAAATTAGTTTTTGTACTTCGCATCTTGCACACTGCGATCGATCAAGAAGGCCTGAGATATGTTTGTTTATCAAATTCTCGGTCAGAATAATTTTTTTAACAAATTTGAAAAAATTCCAATAAAATATTATATTTCACAAGTGACAATACTAGCAACGGAAAATATCATGTCGGTCGTTTTTATGTCTGATAACAGAACCTACATCGAGGTAAGGCTGGGCCTAGCCTAGCAATGTTGGATAGGCTAATATTTCCGGTGCCTAATATATTTTTTTCGCAGACCTATAACAAAATCAAACATAAAAAATTAATCTTTATTTATATCTTTATATTTATAATGTTTATTTTTTGAGCGAAACACAAAAAAAAAAATCAATTTTTAGTCTTATTTTACATTTTTTCGTGTTTAGGAATGTCTAAATTCATTTAAACTAGCAATTTCCTATTATATTTATAAATCTTTATAACATATATAAAAATCAGATTTTTCTTAAAAACTGAAATTTTGCTGGGAATGGGGCTTTAAGTAATAATAGATAACAATGTATCATAATGTGAAAACCCAAGGAAGTACACCAGATTGCCATCTTACTGTAAGATCAGAAAATATTTTTTGGGGGGAAGGCAGTTTGTTCAGTGGTTTCCATTCATTCTGGTTATTGAACTTGTGGTCAGGAGTTCAAACCACTCGCTGCCCAGTCTCGGCCGGCGATACCTAGATACCCCAACTTGCATTGTTGACAAGCTGTTAAGTGGCTCAGGCTAGGGTTCAGCCTAGATGCAACCATTTCATGGCATATAAATATATTAATAATTAAGTAACCCCTTACCTAAATGTGGATTTCAGGCCTTGGTTGGGGTGATTTCAATAAAAAAGAATTTTTAAATGACACTTTCATAAATTGCTAGTTTTGGCAGTTTTCGTGACATTTAACTTTCGGGAATTGTATACAGTTAAACTTGCCTAATTCGACTTTGCCTAACTCAAATAATTTCTTAGTCGATCTTTTTTTACATGCCAAATTGTTGTGTTTTTCGTTAATTAATGATCTATAAGTTAGATTTTATCTAAGTCAAACAATTTTTTGTTCAACTTAGGCAACTTCAACTGTGTACAATACAAAGCTTTAATATTTTACTTCCTGAGAATGCTGCACAGTAGCTGCAAACAGCCACTAGATTATTGGAAGTTAAAACTTTTACTGCAGAGGAACATGCTTTATCAATTTTTCATCTCTTTATTCAAGTATTACATATTTGTTATGATTTCCTATGAATATAATTTTTAGCATTAGGGATTACTATATAATTTCTTATCTATTATATTATTTTATGCAACTTGCAGGGAAGAATTGACAGAGAAACACCATAGAACAGCTGTTGCCAAGTTTTTTCTAAACACTAAAAAAGACTTTACAGATATGGTATGTATATTATATTGTACAACATTGAATTATATCAACACACTCACACCAACATACTGCGTCAGAAACAATATTTTTAATTAGTATATGATTAAAAAAGTATATATATTTACCTACATACTTACTTATTTCAACAAACTTTGATGAGTTAGTCTGTCATACACTGGTTAATTATAGTTGCAAATATTTCATACTATTAACATTATTTACATTTTTTTTATAAATTATTAATTAATAATTTCAGATTGCATTACGGCAAGAGCAGAAGTTTCTCAAGTCCTCTGTGAAAAAAGCAAGGTCCGGTGTTCACAAGAAAAGGAAGTTGTTACTTTCTCTCCAGCAACAAAATGCAAGGTAAATGTAGTAAATAACAGGTCCTGTTGTTGCTCCTGAGGTGGACCAGCATCTCATCCAGGAGGAGCATCACACTCTCATCCGCTTCAGCGTTTTTGGCGCAGCGGGAACAGTTTGGTTTCCCAACCTTTAGGTCGGGGTTTCAATCCCTCGCTGTACATTTCGCTTGTGTCCTTGAGCAAGGCACTTTATCTGCATTGATTCTCTCTACCCAGGAGTATAAATGGGTACCTGGTGGGGTTGCCTGCTCATGCGCTGATTACCAGCAGGAACGTATAAGCATGTGGATCCAATGACCAGGGAAAAGATGTGCTTTGTATCTACAAAGAAAAGGTGCTATATAAATGATATAAATGATGATAATAATAATAAATAATAATAATAATAATTCATGCTACTGGGGATAAGCTCCAGCTCTATGAGCCCCATGGCTCATAGAGGATTGACTTTGCTTCCTCTCTTGTTGGTTCTGTTTTCTTAAATATTATTACTACTATATTAAAATTATTCTTGTATATTGTTATATTATATCTGTTTGGAATGCGGGACAATAACTATATGTATATATCTAACATGGGTCAACTGAAATATAATAATATGACTTAATGGAACAATTTTATGAAATAATTCCACATAAAACAGAACCACAATGTTATAAATCATTTCTTTAGTACCATGTTAAAAAATGTGGTTTTATTTTGTAATAGCAAGTTCTTTGTTTTTTTCATTGCTGTCCTTTTTATTGTTTAGTGCCTCAAGGCTGTTGCGATGTGAGGCGCTTTTTACTGTATGTTTCTATTATTTTCATTGTTTTATATTTTTTTAATTTTTTTTTGCCTGTATAAATAAACTACTCAAAATATGACACAACTATGTCACATAAGACATAATAGTGTTGGCAGAGCTTAATAAATTCAAATTATATTAAAATAAAGTTAACAATAAATAATGAATTCATTATGTATTCTTATTTTTGTTAGACTTTTATTTTTTTTTTATTTTTTTTATTTTTTTTTTTCGGTCATACGTACATAAATATATATATATATATATATATATAATTCAACACTTTCGTCATATTATGCATTGCTCTTCACCGATTTGTTAGTTCTCTGAAAAACTTCATCCAACATGAATCAAACCTGCATTCATTCATTCGTTCATTTGTTCGGTCATAGAAAATTACAGAAACTAAACATGCAAAGATTATAAATAACTCAAGTGACTGAAAAAGTATTAGAAAACATATAACCATACATTGGTCAAGATAGCGCAAGAAATCCAAGAGCATGTTTATTTCTATTGGTGTCCTCTGTTCAGGCAAGTATCATACAGTATCTCAAAACCACCGTTAATACTGTTAAATTATATATAAATCATCAAAGAAAGGTAAATACCGTGTTCAAATAAAGGACATAATGGTACATCGTGTAGCATAGCTCTCAACGAATAAAGTCCTATAAATAATACGTTGTGTAATAAAATGGTTCTGACGGGATTCCACCTGCGACCTCTAGCTGTCAAGGTGAGTGCGATAAGCGATAACCATTAGACCACAGAGGCTTCATGGTTGAACAGATTCAAATATCCTTCAGGCACACTCCTTTACGCAATATTACTACAGTCGTTGAGAGGTATGCTACACAATCTACCATTATGTCCTTTATTCGAAAAGTGTATTTACTTTTCTTTGATGATTTATATATAATTTAACAGTGTTAACTGCTATCTTGATTTATGTTATATGCTACTATTTATTCCTGGTACCCTTAAGTTGTGTTAAAGAAATTTCACAAACATGAACACAAGACAAAGAATGATTGAACAATGTATATCTCTACTTTTAGATTGATTTCTGTGATATGCGGTTGGGGGGTACAGGAAACGGGGAGTCGCTCAGGAAGCGGGGGAGGGGTGCAGGAAGAATCTACCTTCACAGTGTGAGGATGAAATGGATGGGAATGTTTCAACTGCGTTGGCAGCAGATTTTCATATTCGAATTGATATAAGGAAAATTAACAATATGCATATTTTTCTGAATTGTTCATTTGTGTATTAACAATTTCCAAACTACTTTATTGTTGTGGTAACATAAGATATGAACATAACATGTAAGTTAAGATTACAGTAATAAAAGCAACCCCACTGATATATTATGTGTACAACTTTTCTGTTATTGTGTATCGATGTACAGGTATAATATGCATCATTACAACATATTAGTGGGGACACATGCGACCCTGTGGGAAAAATGTGCTGGCCTTAGGCCCAACCATGGTGGGGTAGAGGTGGATGGAACCCACCCCTGTCATACCCTCTCTTGAAAGTATCAGTGACGTCGGCCAATCGCGGCCCCACACGCACTTAATAAACAATATCTTTATATAATCCATACCTGATTATTCAGCTTCGTCACATGGTTCTGCACAGCCGTAACGAAAGGGAAATTTTTAGTGTTTCTTTTTTAAGACAAATCTGTTTACATTGTCTTTAGGAATCTAATACAGTATCACTATTAACTAATATAGGCTGCATTCTAAGCGGGCAAATTACGTTCTAAACTTCGAACACAATAAATCAATACACTCGGTTTGATTATTGTGTGGAAAGTTGTTACCAGCATAAAAATATCGCGCGTTTGTATACTAGTTTTATCTGCATTGATTAGACCTATTGGCATTGTGTCTCAATCAAAGGAAGGCATAGAACGTGGGGTAGGCCTGCTGACAAACAGAAATGTAGATATTCAGACTCATGGCATTGGATATTAATACTATAGTGATTAAGTCAATACTATAGCCGATACTGTATCGATAATGGAGTAATAGTATCAATTAAGCTGTTGGTAAGTTATGTATTTTGAATATTCACTATTTGAGAGTCTGTGTAGATAATAGTATTACACGGAAATAGATGTTGTAGGCCTTGGTAGAACCAAAGCCATTCATTGGGATAGATACTGTCTCTAAGCCAGCCTTTACTATACCGGAAGAAGATACTATATTGAAAATATTTCAAAGTAAACATTATCTTAAGCTAAGCACTTACTAAAATATTCGTATATTTATACAATATTTGTATATTAAGAAGCTGATAATAGGCAATTTCAAACCTTGGTTGGATGGGGCCTGATACTGTAATAATATTTGGCTATAGGGAATGCATACCTAAAACACTCATTCTTCGTAGAAAAGCCACGCAAGGAATCATGGTGAGATACAATGGGTTACCTGTAACTGTATAAAGGGAAGCGTGTTAAAAAGGCCTAATGTGATCTCATACCCCCCCCCCCCGACTTGTCATCAACTCGCCCCATTACCACATCATCTTAATACCCTAAGTTACCTCATTGTTTTAGACATCATCGTCATAATTATTGTCGACGTAATCGTCATTATCGTCTTCATCACCATCCTTATCAACAACATAATATTAATCATCATATTATTGTCATCTTTATCATCATCCTCTTTATCATCATCATCATCATCATCAACAACATAATCTACATCATCATCCTCGTCATCATCATACAAAATTGTAGTAAAATATCATCATGATGTACATACGACTAATACTATTCTTGTATTTTTTTGGAGCTCTCATCCATTCATTTACTGCTAGGGTCGTAGGAAAATGTCTGTAAATTTTATATTTTGAGGGTATTTAAAAACCACATTTTACCCCATACTATAGATCTTTAAACCCTTCAATAATCATGGTTTTCGTTTGCTCAGGTATCAGCTCATTTAGTTTTTGTACAAGAGAACGTGGTTCCTCTATAACGCGACCCAGGAACGTTACCAGTATAGGCATGGCATCGACAGAGGAAGCCCATCCCGAGAACATACCGCTTGTGAGATCTAGCGACGACGGTAATGACGGTGACTGGAGGGATACAGTTCACATCCAGCTAATGCGTTCCACGCGCGCTCTCGTACATTTGTACATTGTGAAGCTACTAGTCAAGTTAACAGTCGGATTTGTAGCGGGAAGTCTTACTCTATTTTCCAATGACGTTTGGCAATTCAATGATGAAGAAGGAGAAGTTCTTCTTTTAAGTTTTTACAACTCAATATCACCGTGTCTCCCTCTACTTGGTGGCCTCTTAGCAGACACTGTGGCCGGTACTACTCGGACCACTATTGGTGGAATGATTTGCATAACAATTGGTGTGTATATTTTTTTATATGTTTAATAAACAAAATTCGTTAATAATATAGGCTATGACAGAGACGTATTGACAAATATTATTCTCTCACATGTCAGCATTATTAATGGAAAATTATTTTTAAGTTAAATAAAAGATAATGTTTATATTGTTAGAATGAAAAGGAAACAGAAAGCAAAAGTTGTTTATTAGGAACTCTGCCTCATTGATAATTATAACAATTGTTGTATATCGATATGAAAATTTTGAATACAATGTCAAATAAAACGCATCATTAAAAGAGCAAGTTTGCCGGATGACAAAGAAGGGACTCGCGAAGTTACGACTCAAGGCGCGACTACCACTTAACAGTAATAAGTAATTAGTAGAGTTGCGTATCATACAATACAGTAGTGGAAATTATGATACATCATTACATTTCTATAGCTTTACATTGTGTGAAGAACTAAACGAACAAAACTCACTATATGGTGATGATGATGATGACATGATAATGCTGAAGATGATGATAATGGTTATGATTTGTGATGTGAAGAAGATGATGATGATGATGATGATGGTGGTGGTGATGATGAAGATGATGATGATGATTATGTTGGCGGCGGTGGTAATGATGATGTTGATGATAATAGTAATTGTTAGCATAATTATAGTCATGATGTGCCTATATATGGTCATGATGTGCCTATATATGGTCATGATGTGCCTATATATGGTCATGATGTGATGTCATTATTATTAGAACAGTTTAAATTTCTGCTTTCCCAGCTTGTTCTTTGTTTTCATTGGATGCGTTTCCTTTCGAGGAAGTGGGAGGTCTGCCGTTACCTGCTACACGCTCCATATTTATTGTGGGTCTGTCACTTCTTTTCGTTGGGGGTGCTGGATTTGATGCTAATATTGACCCCCTTGCAGCCAAGCATAAGGAACGGAAGGGATACACAGCCGTAAGAACAGTCTTCCACAGGTTCGAATAATGCCAAATTTCATTATGCGTATTTATTTATTAGTATTGTAGGGATATGATTGTTATCGTTGTTTTATACATTATGCTTATTCTTGATAGATTTATATATAATTATTTTCGTTATTGCCTATATATAAGATGTGTATTACTGTTATCGTTGTTTTACATTCTGCTTAATTATTTATAGATTTGTATACATATAATTAATTTGTTATTATATATACAGTATATATATACTTATATATAATGATTATCTTTACTATTGTTATATACATTTTCATTCTATTTTATTCTCATCCTTCCGGGTGCCCGTTTATAGTCTTAGGCGGACAAAAATAGATACGAGTTTTGTACCTTATGATATAGCCAAGTAGTACTGGGCTGAGATCATAATTATTAAATTACCTTTTAAGTTTCATTAATATTATTACCATTATTGTATTATCTTTCTCATTAAACTTTATCTTTCAGTTTATTTTGGTTTGAAACAATCGGAGTTGCCATTGCGATTGTCTTTATTGATTTACTTGAAGAAGAGTTGAATTTCAGCCTGATCTATGGTATAGGAAGCTTATTGATGTTAACCGCTGTGGCTGTTATAGTAACGGGCCGTCGTTTCTATATACCAAGTTCTCTACCAAAGAGTATGTATCATGACTAATCAAGATACGTACTTATTCGAATAAACGCCCCACTTTGAATAAACGCCCCTCCAGAGCCTCATTTAGAATAAACGCCTTCCCTGGGCATTTTATTTAGGCCTGTTCTTCGAATAAACTTCCCTCTAAATGTAAACACAACTAATAGAAGCAACATCATTCTCAACACATTTTATTGATGTTCAACTCCAGTAGAATTACATTTTTTCTAACCTAGTTATGATCAATAATTCTTTATGATCACGCAATAACACATTTTGACTGTAATAATGTATTGTAGTTCCACATTTACAGTGAAATTAAGGGGCGTAGGCCTATATTTGAGTGTAATAATACGTATCCAAAAAAAGAAAATAAACGCCTCCCTAGAAATAAACACCCTTTAAAACCCCTTCTTAACAATAAACGTCCCTGGCCTTTTATTTAAGTAAATATCTTTACAGTACTCTATTTTGAAATTAAAGAAACTATTCTTTCATTCTTATTCTTATTCTTTATAGCCAAAAACAATACAAAAACAAACACATACAGCCAACTCAGGGAGTAGGAACTAAACTAAACAAACTGAACTAAATCGCTTTAAACAAATGTTAAGATTCCTTACTCCCAACTCCCAAAGTAACATAACAATAAATACAACTTTTGTATAAAGTAGTTTAGAATGTTACAGAATAACTGACGAAGTTTTAGATATTGAATTAATAATAATTATGTTGATTAGGCCTACCACAAAATTGTCTAATGCATCTTGATTGATTGGTTATGACTTACTTATTTTTGTTTTTTTTTTGTTTTTTTTCCCCAGAAAATGTATTGGTTAAAACAGGGGCTGCAATTTTGGAAGCCATTACTAGGCGTTTTAATCAAAAGGCTTCAGATGTTCCACGTGCCAGCGAAATAAAATCCTTCCTCGACTACGCAAAGTTAAAACATGGCGGAACATTTCAAAACAAGTTTATGATGGATATTAAACACCTGTTTAGGACACTACCTGTCTTCCATACTGTCACTTTATACTCCATCGTTCTTTATCAGGTACAGTAGAACCTCTTTGAGACGCCGCTATTAAGGGGACATTCTACCATGGATTATGGAATACTTTCCATCTAAACTTCGATAAACTTCTGATAGCGATGCATTCAAGACCCTCCTTAAAACGTACCTCTTTAAATGATATAAACTTAGGATAAACGCTAAACTTAAACTTAAACTTAAACTTAAACTTAGGATAAACGCTAAATTGTTGCAATTGTTGAGAAAATTCAAATCAGCTTCTGTTTTACATGATTTCTTGAGTAGCTTTTCTCGCTTCCTTAATTCAGACTTGCTAACTTCACTGTTGCAGCTTAAATAATGAATAATAGAACCAACAGATCGAAGCGAAATCAAAATGAACACGAATTTTAACGAAATAAGCCATTTATTCACAAACATCTTTCTCCTGTTTCCTACAGGCATCATCAATGCTAACTAAAAACAATTACTTTAATCAATAATTGTTTCATTTTAAAACAATAGACAAGATACAAAAACAAGAGACAGGATTCTCAACAGCGAACTGAATCAAAATTTAAAATGAGTCTCCACAAACAACAACATACCAATTGCAGAATCGTATACAAAACGGCACACAAACGTGAGAATAATAATAATGATAATAAAAACATTACATGAAAACCTAACAGTACACAGATAAATGCTGAAACATTATTTAATTTGTTATTTAATTGATTCTTTTTTTAAATGGTTTCTTTTCAAATCCCAAAAAAATATCTTCATTACCTACATTATTTTTAAAAGTTGTTAAAATACAGACAAAATAATCAATGTCCAAATGGTTATGACTTACTTATTTTTGTTTTTTTTTTGTTTTTTTTCCCCAGAAAATGTATTGGTTAAAACAGGGGCTGCAATTTTGGAAGCCATTACTAGGCGTTTTAATCAAAAGGCTTCAGATGTTCCACGTGCCAGCGAAATAAAATCCTTCCTCGACTACGCAAAGTTAAAACATGGCGGAACATTTCAAAACAAGTTTATGATGGATATTAAACACCTGTTTAGGACACTACCTGTCTTCCATACTGTCACTTTATACTCCATCGTTCTTTATCAGGTACAGTAGAACCTCTTTGAGACGCCGCTATTAAGGGGACATTCTACCATGGATTATGGAATACTTTCCATCTAAACTTCGATAAACTTCTGATAGCGATGCATTCAAGACCCTCTTTAAAACGTACCTCTTTAAATGATATAAACTTAGGATAAACGCTAAATTGTTGCAATTGTTGAGAAAATTCAAATCAGCTTCTGCTTTGAATGATTTCTTGAGTAGCTTTTCTAGCTTCCTTAATTCAGACTTGCTAACTTCACTGTTGCAGCTTAAATAATGAATAATAGAACCAACAGATCGAAGCAAAATCAAAATGAACACGAATTTTAACGAAATAAGCCATTTATTCACAAACATCTTTCTCCTGTTTCCTACAGGCATCATCAATGCTAACTAAAAACAACTACTTTAATCAATAATTGTTTCATTTTAAAACAATAGACAAGATACAAAAACAAGAGACAGGATTCTCAACAGCGAACTGAATCAAGATTTAAAATGAGTCTCCACAAAAAACAACATACCAATTGCAGAATCGTATACAAAAAGGCACACAAACGTGAGAATAATAATAATGATAATAAAAACATTACATGAAAACCTAACAGTACACAGATAAATGCAGAAACATTATTTAATTTGTTATTTAATTGATTCCATTAGGTTTCTTTTTAAATCACAAAAAATACAATCATTATCAACATTATTTTTAAAAGTTGTTAAAATACAGCCAAAAGAATCAATGTCCAAATGTCCAATGTAAAAATAGTTTGTTGTTTCTATCTTTAAGCGCCAGTGACAAATAATATTTTTCTAACAATCCTCCAATTTATTATTATTATTATTATTATTATTATTATTATTATGGATATTTGTGCTATACAAATCCTTTGTTGTTTAATTAATTAATAAGTTGATTGATTGATTGATGGATTGGTAGTATGTGCATAAAAAAATATTCAAATTTATATTTTCAGGTGGACACTTCATACATTGACCAAACACGTAGAATGGATTTAGGAGCAGGAAATGTTGTGTATCCAAATATAACGTTTCAATTGGTCTCATCATTTGTGATCGTAGTTACACTGCCGATTCTACTCTGTGTTTATCCTAAAACCGACGGCTCTAACCTCTTCAAACTGACGCCATTGCGGAAAATAGGTATGTAACATTTAGGTAGGCTAGGTAGCGTATTAGATAACACCTTAAGAACAACGATTCCTGGAAGATTTATAAGGGAATACGGTGCTAGCCATGCCTCATTGCTGATTAACTCAGCTGTTGGTAGTGCAATTAAACTATGATAGGATGGGCTTAGGTTCGAATCCCGATTGGGTCTATTGTTTTTCCTTAAAAAAATATATTCGTCTGTATATATCACTCATGGAGTTAGTTCCCTTAGATTTTTAAATATCATGTGATTTTTAAATATTTTCATATTATACGAGGCCTATCCAGAGGAAAAGTTGTCCAGGAATAATCGAAGGGATTATAGTACTATCTTGGCCTCATAGCCCAGTGGGTAGAAACGAAACACTGTATTCGGAGCCAGCGTCCTCGTTAAATCCCGATTACTAAAACTATCAATTTATAAAAAAATTAGTTGATTCATTCGATATTATCTTCAAATATTGCACGTTCAATTTAAAAGTGACATTGTGTTTTTCTACCTTCTAGGAATTGGTATTGTTTTCGCCGGGTTGTCCTTAATTTCTGCTGCCATTGTTGAGGCCGAGCGTAAAAATGTTATGCAAGAAGGTGGATACTTCATACAAACAGTCAACAACATTTCCTATAATGCATCACGGCTCAACGTCCTTTACCAGATTCCACAATATACATTTATTGGTATAAGTGAGGCGGTCATACGAACGTCAGGTCAGTATTAATAGATACATAGTACAGTAATTTGTCTCCATCCAATTAAAGATCCCTCCAATTAAAGACCACCTTTCTACAGCCCCAAATGATTGTCTATATTTTATCTTCAAAGCTGCTAAAGACCATGAAAACCACGGTGCCAAAAGTTGTCTTTAATTGGAAGAAAACATGTACCGGTTATATGTAGTATTATATTAAAA